ATTAAAGTAAATAAATAATAATATAATTAAAATATAAAAAAATTATCTACTTTAAAAAACAAAAAATAACACTTAATTTAAGTTTGAAACAAACTCAAAATAAAGAACATGAGTAATTATTTTAAAATAGAAAAACAGCAAAATTATTTGTAAATTATTACGTAAATTATTACACCTTGTTTAAATTTAATTGTCCTATTAATTTAGGGTGTTTAAAATATTTTATCCATCTTAAAATAACTTCTTTTTTTTTACTTTAAATCTATCCTCAAAGAAGTATATATGTGTGGTTAAAATTTTTAATAAAAATTTTGATAAAAAAATTGTTATAAAAATATTATTTTTATAAATAAAAAAATATATATCAAATAAAAATGATATGTTAATTTTATTAAAATTTAAATAAAAAATTTTTATAAAAATATTAATTTGATATTTTTAAAATTTATAATAAAATATAAAAATTAACTTATAAACAATTATAATATTTTTCATAAATTATGATAATTGATATAACTAAAACTTTTGGATTTAAAAAAAAACCTTTTACTGTACCAAACATGCATGAGGCTCTCTTCCATTTTTTTAATATTGACGGCCATAGAGACAGAGTCGACAGGCAAATAAGGTTCTTTTCCATTTTTTCAACATTGACGGCCAAAAAGACAAAGGGTCGGCAGATAAAAATAAGGTTCTTTTCCATTTTCTCAATATTTGACGGCCAAAAAGGCAAAGACTCGGTAAGTAGGGCTGTTTCCCAGTAGCTTCATTGCTTAATGGTCAAAAAAGAAGAAAACGCGTAACACGACACGATGATGAAGGGAAAACGCGTATTGGAATATATATATATAAAAGGAAGCTTCCCTACTCCCTTCAAAAACGCGTAGAATTAATAATAAGTAAGAAAACGCGGAATGACCTACCACTTAGACCATATTTGCAAGCTATCATTGCTTAATGGTAAAAAGGTCGAGAGTTCAGAAAAAGAAAAAAAGAAAAAAAGAAAAAAAAAACTGAAAAGTTTAAAAAAAAAAACGAAAAAAGAAAAAAGAAAAAGAAAAACCCAACAATGCCACTACACGCTTTAAAAAGGCGCAATGGAAGGCTATCCTTGAGAAAAACGCAGCAGACCTGGAGTTAAAAAGGGCAAAAAAGGAAAAAGAAAAAAAAGCGAAGTGCAGTTATAAGACAAAACAAGAGCTGGCGTAGAATAAAAGCATGCATGCTTTGATCAGTTTTTAAATTAAGCCAACGTCGATTCTAACTTTAACAAAACCACTCAAAAATAATGTTTCAGGTTTTTAGCCTTTGCCCACCTTTGCATCTCGCCTGCACATCATCCATAGTCTGATTTAATTGGTTAGAAATAACAATAAAAATAAAAATAAAAATAAAAATGATTCTAAAATTTCAAATAAGGAATTTCATGAAATCATTCTAGAAATGAACATATAACTCCCAGATACGTTGTAGGTTGGAGTAATTGAAAGCGCAGCAAGCAATATCTGCAGCTTCTCCAATGGCTAGAATACTCCTATGTCGTTAACTATGCGCACTGGTGCAAAAGAATGCTCAGAGCCATAGACAATAAAGGAAACACAAATCTTCAAGTTCTTCAAGGTAGAAATTTAGATGATAAACTTTAATCTAAGTAGAAATTTGAAACTCAACGGGAGGATTGGGATTGAGATTGTTGGAGAGACGACATCCCGTGCATGAGAGTCGGATGAGCAGAGGAGACCTTGATGCATGGATTCGCTTTCTTGGTTTAAATAGACTGGCATATGTTAACCATGGTTAACATATATGTTAACCATGGTTAACCATATGTTAGCCATGGTTAATTAACCATGGTTAAGTTAACCATGGTTAATTAACCATGATTAATCATATGTTAACCATGGTTAACTCTCCATGGTTAACATACTTGGTGGATTTTCTGACTTTTTCCCAACCATGGTTAACTCTCCAACCATGGTTGACTCCCCAACTTAACCACGGTTAAATATGCAGTTTATAATCAAGAAAGCAGACTGCATACGCTTGCATCGAGATATTGCTTACTTGAAATTGCATCATAGTACATCTCGCTTTCCTCGTAAAGGTCATCCGTTTCATCATTTCTTTCAGGTTCGAATGGTTCTGGGATAACGAAGCCCCTTAACCGATTTGCTCGCCATTCGGGATATCCCGGGGTAGTTAAATCAGTATATGCCCCAGCAGCCACACGATGGATGTTTTTCCAGGCCTCACATACATAAAAGATGCGGTCGCTGGTCCCTGGAATTCCATATGTGTTGGGATTAGGCCCAACGCCCTCTTAGGGCCACATGCAGCAGGCCCAATTATGCACCCGCAGGCCCAAGAGGAGGAGACATACCCACGTGGGCAGTACCACGTGGGCCAATGAGAGGCTTACATGTGCAGATACATGTCAGCACTTGGGGCTATAAATACCCCCCAACCACCTCCGAAGAAGGTAATCAATCTCTACGCTTCTCTCTCTGCAATTACTCCTTGAGAACATCTCTCTCTAGAATATTGAGTATTGCTGACTTGAGCGTTGGAGTGTTTTCCCCGGGGAAACATCCTCGGGATTGTGAAGCAGCTGAAGACTTCAACAGTGTTGGATTGTGAAGCTGCCGAAACATTGGCGCCGTCTGTGGGAAACTCGAACAAAAAGTTGTGTGATTTAACCTGCTGAAAAACAAAATGGTCCGTACCTTTACAGGAGAACGCCCCCCAAGAAATGAAATAGGCGAACAGGAGGACGATCATGTATCTGAGGCCGGATTGAATGACTTTAGGCCGATGCCAAGAAATCTTTTTGTAGGAGGAGCCGAACAGGATCACCTAAGTGAGACGGATGATGAAAGAACACCAACTGGGTATGCAACCCAGCCTGAACAGTTCCAAG